GGGCCTCACTCCTACTTGTGCTACGTGGTTGGGGATCCTCAAGAATCCAAAGTTTCTGCAGCCGGGTGGGGGCGGAGGAGAGTCCCCTACTTCATGGAATCCTGAAACCTTAGACCTTTCTATTACATCCTGCCAATGGGCTGAGCCTCGGCTTTGGGGAGTCTTCTGTCTGTGGCTGCCACCACCTAGCAGTAGCACTAGATTCTTTCTGACCTAGTTAGAGATACATTGACCTTGGCAAGGGAAGCCAGATGACAGCAATTTCCCTGCTGGTAGGAATGCAGTATTAGAATCAATTGCTATCTTAGGCCATTGTCTTTGCAAGGACAGAAAAGTAGTTATCAGGAATGAGAGAGAGGAACAAGTGTGAAAATGAGGGTACTTACGAATCTATGTGCTAGAGAATTTGAGATATATTCAGAAGGGGTGAAAGAGCCAAATAGTATATGTTGCCTCCTAAAGATAACACTAAAACATTTTGCTTAGAAATAGGTTACGTTGTCTGCGGCCACCCCGCCCTGACCGCGCCGGATCCCGTCTGCCCTCCCAAATAGGTTACGTTGAAATGTTCTCTACCAAGAGAATTTGACTTAGAAAATTGTTAGAAGAGGAAGTACAAACTACATAGCTACATTTGGCACAAACAGATATATAGTACTTGTCAGAATTGTTCAGCTTTCTGATATTCCAAAACACTAGAAATTATGGAAGCTCCTTTTATTAATCTGGGTTATAAACTAATATTCTTTTTTAAATTTTTGAGATAGAGTCTTGCTCTGTTGCCCATGCTGGAGTGCAGCCCAATCATAGCTCACAGCAACCTTGAACTCCAGGGCTCAAGTGATCCTCCTGCCTCAGCCTCTCGAGTAGCTGGGACTACAGGCATGGGCCACCACACCTGGATAATGTTTTTACTTTTTGTAGAGACAAAGGTCTCACTGTGTTGCCTAGCTAGTCTTGAACTCCTGGCTTCAAGCAATATTCCGGCCTTGGCCTCCTGAAGTGCTGGGATTACAGGCGTGAGCCACCGCACCCAGCCTAATTTTGATATTCTTATGGTTAATTTAAAGAAGTTGAATATTAGAACAAAGAAAATTTTAGGGTTAGATTCATTGAAGGACTTTTAGGATTTTATATTTAGGAACATAAACTGAGTAATGTTTAGTAATTAAAAGGTACTCTAGAGATACTATTAGCAAATCTTCAATTCTAGTTGGAATTAATTCCATTTATTAATGAAAAGTATCAAAATAATATGTATATAGCTGTAGCTACATGTATGTGACAGAATAATGTAGATATCCAGGTCTCAGTTTCTGTTGGCTCTGTTACCAATTGCAGAGGGAATAAAGAATAAATCTTAGTATTCTAACATAGCACATTGTGATGGTAAAGGCCTGTGATGACCATCAAAGCCATCCAGAAACTAGTGTGGCTGTATAAACAGCAGTCAGGTAGGAATGTAGTATAGTATTTTTATAAATGTCCAAGAGATCCTTTTAGATATTATGATAATGGTAAACTGAGAGGATGGGGTAAGGTTCCATGAGACTATGCTATGAATTGTGATAGCCACAGTGCCTAGGGCAGCACCTGGCCCATAGTGGACACTGAATAAATACTTGTTATGTGGACTGATGAAAGATGAGGAAGAAAATAAATGTAAGGGCAATACAAAGTCAAAGGAAGAAATAATCTGTAAAAATGAAGAAGAATGCATTTTAAACATAGCCAAGTACCCAGGAAACTTAAATAAATGTAGGAGTTGCTAGCTGCTTTGTCTCACTTTCCCTCCTGATAGTCCAACTAACTAAGGACCCTGGCTTATTCATCTATGAATCTGTAGACCATGGAACATAGTAGCTACCATGTATTAAAAAGCTGTAGTTTGCTAAGCGCAGTTTTTCCTGCAACAACTCTATGAGGTATTAGCCTCATTTTAGAAATAAAGGAAATGGAAGCTTAGAGAGATTAAATAACTTGTCCAAAGCCACGGAGTGGAGCTGGGATTCTAACTCAGAATTGTCTGACTCCAAAAACAATATACATAATCTTCAAGCCAGACTGTCTAGGTGCTCAGTAAATGTGTGTTGAGTGTTTAAAAAAAAAAAAAAAGTAGTCATCAGGAAAGAATTCACTGAGAAGGTGACATTTGAACTGGATCTTAAAGTAAGATTTGAATGTGGTAAAATAGGGAGGGGTCATGATGAGGAGTATTCAGGCAAAAGGGATAATCCGTTTAAAAAAAAACCACAGAAATATAGACAGAGTAAAGAAGAGTTCTGGTTTTCTGCCACAAGGATGCATTTGAAGATTAGTAGAGGATATGATACCAAGGTAATTTGGGTCTTGACTGTAGAGGTCCTGGAATGCTGGTCTGAGATGTATGGACCTGACTCTGGAGGCAAAGTCAATCCATCAAAGACTTAGCAGGAAGGACCTAGAAATACAGACCTAAAAGAAAGGTCAGGACTAATGATATCTTGAGGATGCTTACCTGGAGCTCACAGAATAATGCTCTTGAACAAGAATAGACTGAAAATTCCATTAGTGAGAGCTGAACTCTAGGACTTGACCATAGGAGCATAATTGGCTTATCTCAATATTCATGGTAATGCAGAGAGAAGGACAAACATAAGCTGCCAAACAGATGGCACATTAATGGTGTCATTGCTTTCTCTTGACATCTAGGTTATAGAAAACCTTTACAGTATGGACTTTGGACTTTTTTTTTTTTTTTTTGGAGACAGAGTCTCTTTCACTCTGGGTAGAGTGCAGTGGCATCATCATAGCTCACTGCAACCTTGAATGCCTGGGCTTAAGGGATTCTCCTGCCTTAATCTCCTGAGTAGCTGAGACTACAGGGCATGCCACCATACCCGGCTAGTTTTTCATTAGGGACAAGGTTTCACTACGTTGCTCAGGCTGGTCTCAAGCTCATGAGCTATAGCCATCCTTCCATTTCAGCCTCCCAAAGTGCTGGGATTACAGGTATAAGCCACTGTGCCCAGCCCATTTTTTTAATAAAAAAAAAAAAATTGTTTCTAGCTACTCCGGAGGCTGAGGCAGGAGGATTGCTTGAGCCTACGAGTTTGAGGTTATAGTGAGCTGTGATTATACCAATGCACTCCAGCCTGAGCAACAGTGAGACTGTCTCAAAAAAAAAAGAAAAAAAATGCATTTGTGCCTGTTTCTGTCTCGATCTTTTCTGACATAGAGAAACTTTAAAACTTAACTGGGTACAGTAGCTCATGCCTGTGATCCTAGTACTTTGGGAGGCCAAGGTGGGAGGATCACTTGAGGCCAGGAGTTCAAGACCAGCCTGGGCAACAGCAAGACCCTCTCTTTACAAAAAATTAAAAAATCAGCCAGACGTAGTGGCATGCACCTGTAGACTCAACCACATGGGAGGATCGCTTAAGCCCAGAAGTTGAAGGCTGCAGTGAGCTTATAAGATCACATCACTACACTTCAGCCTGGTCAACAGAGTGAGACCCTGCCTCAAAAAAAAAAAAAAAAGAAAGAAAGAAAAACTTGGGGCATCTTCAGTGGTCTCAACTCCCCACTGTCACCAGGCGTCTATCTACAGGAGAGCTTCCCTCTTCAGAATCATCACTGGGTTTAAAATATGTCAGTTTAGTCTGCCATAGGCTTAAAGTTTTAAAAACTATTCCTCTTCTACTTTAGTAATACTTACCATCATTGACTGAAATGATGACTCTGTTATACCAGCTTTCTTTCCTCTAACTACAACAGTTATGTCTTTTTTGCTATTAAAAAGTGCTTCATATAAGTGAAAATAGTATGTATTTTTCACAATGTAAAGAGTTTTTTTTCCACTTAATGTTATATTCTTGAGATTATTTGTAATATATTGTAGATCATATAGTATTCCTTCGTGTGAATACGCCATGATATATTTATCCATTCTGGTACATTATTACAGACAATGCCAATATAAATATTCTTGTATACACCTTCTTGTGCAGACGTGTAAGATTATCTCTGGAGTAGTGGTTCTGACACTTGACCATGCATCTGAAGCACCTGGAGGGCTGTTTAAACATGGACTGCTGGGCGTCCCACCACGTTGTTCCTGATTCAGGCGGTGTGGGGTCCCAGTAATTTACAGTTCTAACAAGTTGCCAGGTGCTGCTGATCTAGTAATTGGAGAACTAATTGCTTCAGAGTATAGACCTAGCTGTGGAATTGCTAGAGTGAAATAGAGAATGCAGATTTTCTACTTTAGTTATTAATGCTGGATTGTCTTCCTATGAGCAGTATGAAAGAGTGTTGTCAGGCTTGAATTTTTGCCAGTCTGGTGGGTGTTAATGGTATCTTATTATGTGGCTGAAAAGGGGAAATCTACATGCTTTTTTTTTTTCCATTTTAAAACTTGCAGAATATATGGGGCTTGCCCACTTTAAATAAAGAATGTTATCCAGCACACAGAATACACACACAGCACACAGTTTGTTGGTGCTGATCAAATTCTGTGCCAGTTACTTAGGAAGAATCTTAGGTAATTATTGTCATTTTTAATATTTTATTTTTCCCTTGGCCTTTTTAAAAAAAAGATCCGAGGAGAAATTGCACTTTAGTGAGGAGGCTTGCTTAAACAGAAGACACTCCTTTATTAATAATTGAAGTCTCTCTCAATTACTGTGGAAAGCTGATTGGGAAAAAGCTGGTTAGACGTTGCAATAATTTTATTGCATTCCTCAGGGAAACTACTTGAAAGCCAGATCCAAGCTGACTTTTTGTTGAACAGGTTCACATTCTAGATGAGAAGCTGCTGCAGAGCAGATCCTCTGCTCAGAAATGTTGCTTTCTGAGTTACCATTAGAGCAAGCGTGTCCAGGTCCTGTTTCTGTCAGGCAGTGGTTAAGCTCTCGCTGTGGCACAGTGGACCTTAGAGTCCGGGGGCAGTGGCAGGGTGCTCAGTGGGCTTTGGTGTCTGTTGTCTGAGTGAATGAGCACAATGTTTGGCTGCCTTTCAGCTTTCATGACGCTGGTTATCATATTGCTGCACATCTTCTGGGGCATTGTATTTTTCGATGGCTGTGAGAAGAAAAACTGGTACATCCTTCTTATCGTTCTCCTGACCCATCTGCTTGTGTCAGCCCAGGTGAGTGTTGCCACCATGCTAAGACTGTTTTTTGGAACTCAAGTATGTATATCTAAATGGTAGATTCTACTGTAGATCAGCGGTCCCCAACCTTTTTGGCACCAGGGGCCAGTTTCATGGAAGACAATTTTTCCATGGATGGGATGGAGGAGGAAGGGCTCAGGCAGTGATGCCAGTGATGGGCAGCGGCTGTAAATACAGATGAAGCGGCCGGGCACGGTGGCTCACTCCTGTAATCCTAACACTCTGGGAGGCCGAGGCGGGCGGATTGTTTGAGCTCAGGAGTTCGAAACCAGCCTGAGCAAGAGCGAGACCCCGTCTCTACTAAAAATACAAAGAAATTAATTGGACAACTAAAAATATATAGAAAAAATTAGCCAGGCACGGTGGCGCATGCCTGTAGTCCCAGCTACTCGGGAGGCTGAGGCAATAGGATCGCTTGAGCCCAGGAATTTGAGGTTGCTGTGAGCTAGGCTGACGCCACGGCACTCACTCTAGCCCGGGCAAAAGAGTGAGACTCTGTCTCAAAAAAAAAAACATAATACAGATGAAGCTTTGCTCTTGCCTGCCGCTCACCTCCTGCTGTGCTGTGGGTTCCTCCATGGCCTGAGGGTTGGGGACTGCAGCTCTAAATGAAATACATGCTCATGAGAAAATTAGGAAATTCAGAAAAGTTTAAGTGAGTGAATGAATGATCTAAGTCTTACAGCAGAAAGACAACCACTATTAATTTTTTGGTGGGTCTCATTAAAGATTTTTTTTTTCATGTGTCTTTCTTTTAATGGGTGTAGTCAAACCTGAAATTGTCCTGCATTATGTTTATGTTACGGAGCACATCTAAAGCAATATCCAAGCTATTGCAAATCCTTTAAGATATACATATAATAGCTTTATATCATTACATAAAAATTATTATAACTTGTTGGATCACTTCCATTTCTTTGGTTATTGTAATGCCATCTCAAACATCTTTGTATGTGAAATGTTTTCCATACACTGTTTAGGTTCCAAGGCATGGAATTATGAAGTCAAATGATGTGAATATTTTTTTAAGCACTTGATGCAAATTGCTAAAATTCTCTCCATAACAGAAGTGCCCATTTGACCCCCTCCTTACTGACACCATGATGATGCCAGTTTTCAAAATAAAGTTAAAAAACTTGATATATTTTTAAAATGCTGTTTAATGCTTTGGTCCTGCTTTTATTGTAATTTGTCATATATTTATATGAGAATTACTCCTCCACTGCCTTGTCCAGACCCTTGTCATCTCTCAACTGATGCTGAAAAGGTTCCTTCTGACGGTGTGCTGCCTCATGCTTCTCGCTGGCCATTTAGAGTTTATATCAGATTTTCTTACACTGGGCTCCCTGCCCTCGGATCCATCTAAAATGCAACCTTACTGCCCTCCCCGCCGAAACCTTTCAGTGGTGCAGGGTGCCAAATTTAATACAGGATGGCAGCTATGTAAAGCCAAATCTTTGTGGAAAAAAGACTAGAAAAGGGATGGATTAAAATATTAACAGCATTTATCTCTGAATGTCGGAATTTGTGGATTCTTTTATTCTTTATATTTTTTGTCATTTCCAAATATTCTATGACATAGTGCTTTTATAATCAGAAATCAAACATCCTTCTGTGGATTTAATTGGCCGCTCATTCATTCAATAAATATTATATCAAGTGCCTTCTGTGATTATCCTGCCTTCATAATCTAGTGGGTAGAGGCAGGCAATAAACAATAGACATAATAAATAAATTATGTGGTATCTTAGGAAGTGATTGGTGCTGTGGAAAAAAGGAAAAACAGAGCAGGGGACTGGGGCCCAGCGTGTGTGTGGGGGTCAGGGTGACACAATTACGTGGTCAGGGTACGTGTCACTGTGAAGGTGCTGTCTGAGCAAAGAAGTGAAGCGTGGGGGTGAGGGAGTTGGCCACATGGCTGTCTGGAGAAGGAGCATCTGGACTGAACAGCCAGCGCCAAGGACCTGGGAGTAAAGGCTGTGCTTGGCATATGCGTGGAGACCGGTGGCCAGAGTGGCATGAGCAAGGGGGAGCTGAGTAGGAGATACTGACAGAGGGTTGATGGGGGGAGGGAAGTAGCTAGAAGTAAGGGCCAAATCTAGGTAATACGGGACTTTGGCTTTTACTCTCAGTGAAATGAGTCATAGGAGGGCGTTGAGCAGAGGGGTGTGATCTGACTCATGTTTAGGAGGATCTCTGCTGCGTTGAGATGAGACGGTGGCGGGGAAGAGATTACAGTCCTCAAGGAAGGATGATGATGACTTGCGTGAAATAGCAGTGGAGATAATGAGGAATGGTCAGATTCAGGACATATTTTTGAAAGTAGAGCCAGCAATATTTCTTGACAGACTGGATGAGGCATCTGAGAGAAAGAAGCAAGACCAAAGATGTCTCCAAGGTTTTTGGCACGGACCATTTAAAGGACAGAGTTGCCATCAGCTGAGATGGGGAAGCTTGTGAGGGAAGGTCTGGAGTTCCCTTCTGAGCACATTGCTGTGGAGGTACCTGTTGGGCATCCATGCAGAGATGTCAGGTAAGCAGTTGGATGAAAATGTCTGGAGTCTGGGACGGACATCCAGGCTAGAAGAGATGACCACAAAGAGTGGGTATACACAGACGAGAGGCCCGAGGACTGGGCCCCGGGATACTCAAACATTGAGGCTGGGGAAAAGAGAAGGGGCAGCCAGTGAGGCAGGAAGAAATCCAGGAAATCACAGAGAGCCAGGTGTCCTGGAGGCCAGGTGTGTTAAGGAGGAGAGCAGTCGGCTGTAGAGATGCTTGTAAAATTCAGGCTTTGTTTGACGTAAGCTTCTTACTGATCTTACTGCTGCAAAACTTACCTCCTGCCACTCTCCACGATTCACAGCACCATAATCCCATCTAAGCTGACCCAGTGTCCCCAGCAGGCATGCCTTTGTCCCTGCTGTCTATGTGCAGCGATTTGTCTCCCCTACGCATTCCATGGGACACCTGCCTGGGAAGGTGGCACAATCCAGACACAGCACCATCCCTGGACCTTACTCGTAGTTCTAACACTTATCCTTGGCTAGCGTATTTTATTTAATATGGTTTTTACATCTCTCTAACTAGGGATGGGGCCTTATCTTGTCAATCTTTGTATCCTCAGTCCTTGGCACATAGTCAACTATATTGAATAGTTGATGTTATTCTCTTTAATGACTAAAAAAAAAAAGAAAACTCGGAAGATTATATACCAAAATGTTAACAGTAGTTGTTGCTCAATGACAGATTTCAGAGAATGATTAAGTAATTATTTTATTAAACTAATATACATACAGAAAAGTATACATGAGTATGCATCTTGGTGAATTTTCACTGTGAACACACCTGTGTAACTGGCACCCAGATGAAAATAAACATGTCGTCAGCCCCCAGGAGCCTCAGTCACTGCCACACTATGGGTGACCATAATTCTGACTCATAACACAACAGCTTGGTTTTGCCTTTTGGTATTTTATGTAAATGGAAATGTACATTTGCTCCTTCGTCTGGCTCCTTTGCTCAACCTGTTTGTGGGATTCACCTATCTGTCACTCTAACGCACTCATTCACTGCTGTGTAGTAGCCTACCGTGTGACTGTACCGCTATTTATTCATCCTACAGCAGAGAGGCATTTATGGTGTTTCTAGTTGTAACTATTTAACTACTGCTGTGAACATTCTAGTCTGTAGCTCTTGGTGAACATGTGTACACACTTCTTTCGGATGTACGCCTAGGAGTAGAATTGCTGGGTCATGGGGTACTTGTGTCATCTGTTCTTACCACTCAATTTTTCGGAGTGGTCGTATCAGCTTACACTCCTGTGATTCATTTAGGAGTTGCAGTTCCTCCACCTCCTCGCCAGCACTTGGTGTGGCATTCTCTACTGTTAGCTATCCTGCTGGGTGTGTACGTAGTGGTACCATAAATACATAAACCAATAAATTATAATGTCATTAAAATTTTAATTTGCCCTTCCCTTATTAATGACATTGAGCATATCTTCATGTGTTTATTGGCCATTTGGATAATTCTTTTGTGAAGTGACTGTTCAAATCTTGTGACTATTTATTGGGTTTAAGTGTCTTTTTTTTTTGATTTCTTTATATTTTTTATAGGAGAAAAATTTGTCAGCATATACATTGCAGATAACTTCTATGATGTGGTCTGTCTTTATATTCTCTTAATGCATTTGATGAACAAAAGTTCTTCATTTTAATATAGTCTAATCAGTTTCTCTTCATGGTTTCACTTTTTGTGTTCTGTTTAATGAATATTAACCTAGCTAAATCTCAAGTTTTAAATTTTGTTTTATTTCTCTCATTCGTATATTCTAATTTCTACAACAATCATGTATTGCTTTTGTAATTGTTTAAAAGGGAAAAAATGTTTTTTAAAGACATAAGCTACCAAAAAATGCAAAAGAGCTTAGCACTCTGTAAAATAAATTAAAATTCAGTGGATTTAAGGTATAGAAAAATCCATAAAATGCTCAGTGCCCGCTGTGCCCACAGAGGCCTCTTGAGAAAAGCACACTTTCTGCATAAGGTGCTACTACAAAATCCACCCACTCCTCCTCCTGTATGTTTCAGTTTAAATGCCACTTTCTTGAGGACTTCCTCGACTACCCTAAGGAGATCACCTTGTTTTTACCTGTCTAGCATCATCACAATTATAATTATGTTGTCTTAGCATTCATCACAATTTGTAATTAACTGATTTCTTCATTACCTGCTTCTCTTACAAGTACATAAGCTCCACAGAGGTAGGGACTTTGGTCTTCACTACTGGATAACATAGTACCTCTTGGCATTCTATCAGTGTTTTTTCTTTTTTCTTTTCTTTTTTTTTTTTTTTTGAGACAGAGTCTCACTGTGTTGCCCTGGCTAGAGTGCCGTGGTGTCATCCTAGCTCACAGCAACCTCAAACTCCTGGGCTCAAGCGATCCTCCTGCCTCAGCCTCCTGAGTAGCTGGGACTACAGGCATGCGCCACCATGCCCGGCTAATTTTTTCTATATATTTTTAGTTGTCTGATTAATTTCTTTCTATTTTTAGTAGAGACGGGGTCTCGCTCTTGCTCAGGCTGGTTTCGAACTCCTGAGCTCAAACAATCCGCCCGCCTCGGCCTCCCAGAGAGCTAGGATTACAGGCGTGAGCCACCGCGCCCGGCCAGTGTTTTTTCTTTTAGAGTAGTATTTAGATATATAGAAAAGTTGTGAAGATAGTAAGAAATACCCACACACCCTACACCCAGTTTCCTCTATCACCAACGTCAGATCTTAGTATGGTACATTTGTCACAGTTAATGAAACGATACCAATATGTTATTCACAAAAGCCATCAGTGTTTTTTTAAATGAATAAACTTTTGGAACCCGTAGCGATTGGGCAGCTGAAAAAGAGATGCTATTCCCTCATGTTCCCTTGAATACTAAGGACTCATACTAACGTAATTTTGGACTTGTCTTACTCTCTTGCAAATTCTAAGAGCCAGTTAACACAGAAATGAATATAAACTCAGCCCAGATTATACAACTTGTATCTCCTATGGGGTATTCCATTAGGTTCTGCCTAATGACTACCTTCTAGGGTTGCCATTTGAATACAGCAAAGCACAGGACCTACAGCCCAGTGTCCGTCATCTAGGTTAGTTCTACGTGCCTTTGTGGATCCCTAACACGTGGGATACATGACACGCTTGGTGAAACACACCCCAGCTGTTGAAATTATTCCATATTTTCCTGTACCTTTTATTATTCCACATGTTTAATAAACTTGCTGTTATTACCCAAGCTAATTTCTTTGTCCTTCGCAGACCTTCGTAAGTCCTCACTATGGAATCAATCTGGTGTCAGCATATCTAATCATGGTGCTCATGGGCATCTGGGCATTCTTTGTTGCTGGAGGCAGCTGCCGAACCCTGAAACTCTGCCTGCTCTGCCAAGACAAGAACTTTCTTCTTTACAGCCAGCGCTCCAGATAACCTCTGGGAACCAGCACCTCCCAAGCTGCAGACTGTGTCTTTAGAGGAAGCACAATTGTGCCTTTTTCTAAAAATCTCTCTTTCCAGTGGAATTGAGAAAACACAAAACTCTCTAGATGCGAGTCTCCTTCATGTGGCTTTCACGCAGCAGCCCTCGAAAGGGATGCATCAGTGCTGTGCATCCTGGCTGCACGTTAGACTCGCCTGGGGAATGCTGATTCCGGGCTTCCCCCTCCAGGTCTAATTGGCCCGGGCATTTGGTAAGTTCTGCAAGCTGCTCGGGTGATTCTGGTGTGCATCCAGGCTGAGGACCACTGTCCAAACGGGAACTTCCCGAGAACACCGTAAGTGAATGAGAATCTGGTGTTTAACTGTCTCCTAACTCAGCTTGTGCTGAGCAAGTCAGTACCTGAATGTAGGATCCTGGTTAGCCTTTGCCTTTTACGTTCTGAGGTCACAAGAGGCTAAAGGGCTATCACCTCTGTAAACTGTTTCATGTACTTCACTAGTACTGTCTTAGAACATGGTAGGCTCTGCTTCCAAATGCAATAACAAATGACACTGGCTTACTCTGATAATTTAGCCAAAGTAAGATATTGATTAATGAAGTTTTTCCATTCTAGGTTTTGGTTTTTTAGTGCAGATTACATTTCTTTAACTAAAAACAATGATTCTCTGACTTCCTTGGGGAAGTATTCTAAAATGCAGAATTTTTGTGCAACATCTGTATTTCCCCTGTTTAAAGCTTTTCATGGGCTCTACCACAGGGCCCTTGGCCACAGTGCTCGGCATGTGAGTGCTAGCTGCTGGGCTCATTTTATCTCCGAGCAGCTGTGAGGGAGCTGAGCCATGTGCCCTGGGACGGGCTTCACTGCAGCTGGTGGAAGTGTAACCAAAAGCACAAGGAAAGCAAACCAAAAGGGTATTGTTGACACTTTTCATTTGCTCCTGTGATACTAAACAGCACTTTTACCCAAATGGTATAGTGTAAAATTGAAACTATATCTTAAACTGCCAAATCTCATGCTATTACATAATCCATATAATCTTTAAGTCTCATAAATGTCCCTGGGCTTTGGTAGCAGATCTAGCATTCCCTTTGTAAGAATACCCAAGATATTCATTCAGCTTCTAAACAACACTTTTGATTTCCATTATAAAGAGGAAATGCCATTGAATTGTGCCTTTACTAACTAGAAATTGTTCCCAGTTGATGTCTTTGGGTAGCCGGTAGTGTGAAATAGAAATTACCTATGCATTAAAGTGATACTTCAGTGAATCCCACATGTGCAGTGGGACATTCAAAAGAGATAGCAGCAGTGGGGGCCCCACAGTGGCAGGACAGGTGGTTTTGACAGTGCTGTGGAGGGGAAGAATAGTGGACATGCTTAGAACAGAAATGTGGCCAGTGTATACGGCTAGACGCACATCATTCCAGAGACCAAAGCCTTACATATGAACTAGTCTTTTATCAATATCAATGCACCCCACCCCCATGTTTAAAATATTAGAATATCTCAATCTAGAGATTCAAGAGGATTAGGGCTCCTAGCCAGGCTATAAACAGTCTGATAAGCAACTGTAGTTATTCCCCTAAAGGTTATGTCAGCACTATTACCAGTGCTTCCGCTGGCGTCTGCAACTTCCCAGCTTTTTCCCTTTACCTGGAAGAGTCAAGGACATAGAAACTGAACAGTGAAATTTACTGTGCAGAGTCGAAGGGAATAAGATACTCATCGAACTGGGATTTACTGTTATTGAAACGTTATGTTCTTTGATGAATAGAATAAGAAAAATAGATAGTTGCTTATTGACTTACAAGTCTCTTAAATGGGTATTCTGATCAAATACTGATCTATAGAGTGTGAAAAACCTGAGATTATTATATTAATAGTACTCATACTTGAGCTTTGTGGGTATTTTCTGCACGCTACTAGATTCAAATTAGGTTAAGAAGCTGGTTATTATAAAATCTCATTTATAGGAACTTAGATGAGAAGAAAATTTTCTTTGATGGTGAGACTGTTGTCTTAGTTGAGGAAATTGTCTAATGTTCCTTCACTACCTGTGATCGAAGGAACTTTGTAACCCTGATTTCTCTTAGAATGTGAGCCTTGCCAAAGTCGGCTTCAGCAAGGAAGCCCAGGGGGAGGGTGTAGTCTTCCTCTGTTGCTGTGTATAGATTGCAAAAAAAAAAAAAAAAAGTATTTCATTTGTTATCTATAACGAGCTTTCTGAGCGCTGACGACATTGGAGAAGACGAGGCGGTGTTGCTGTTGTATGCTGTCCTCCACGCAGGACTTCCTGTTTGGTAGATAGAGTTAAAGTGGACCTTGGGATTGTGAATATTGTTGCAGTGCTTGAATATGTTGCCATGTGAATGATATTGATTTTGTTCTCTAATACAAACTGTATTTATTTTTAGCTCATGTGAATCAGTAGTTGTAACTGGAGAAATTTTGTTACCTCTATCCTGGCCTGCCTGCGTGGCAGTATAGTAGCAGCAGCCTGTTTTAGAGCATCTTAACGAAAACATGCCTGAAAGGAATTAATGATGGTATCTGCAGACCACATAGAAAATGGCTTTTGTTCCCGGTGTTAATATTTTTACTCTCAAGCACATTTCAGTGTTTGCTGAGAGTGACAGATCACCCCAGAATGCTAATTGCCATATCCATAGAGAGGATGCAATATAAGCAGTTGTGACAGCAGTGTCCTCCTACCTGGTATTCTTCCCGATCACCTCAGCCCAGCCCCCAAACAGGCATTCGCGGTCAGTGTGGGCCCGGGTGCCTGGCTGGCCCACCAGCCGGGGTGGCAGCCTGTCGCGGGCATCAGTGGCCTGCTTCCTGGAAAGAGCTCCTTGAGGGTGTTGGCTTTTTGTTAAGTTTTTTCTGGGCCCCACCATTCCTAACTCCAGATAGGCAAGGTAGATGTCACACAAAACAATTTTGAAGTGCTTTGCTTAGAGCATTTTGTTTATGATTGCAATGTTTACATTTCTTGTTTAATAAAGAGACTTTATTTCATTCTATTAAATGTTAGTATTTAAAAGAGGTGGATACTGTCTCTAAAATATGTAACATTTTATATAAGTTATACTGTTACATATACTTGCAATATCAGACCTTGCGTTCAATACACAATGCAATAGAGTCTTTCCAGACCTGTATTTTTCCGTGAACAATAAAAAGATTGTTTGGCTTACTACTCATTTCCCATGTTTCCTCTTCTTTGGAAAAGTGTATCCTTCAGTATCTGTTACTGCAGTTTTCGTCTCTTATAAAACATTCTCTTATTTATGACTGATCTGTTCTTTGACTTTTTTCAAAGAGAAATTCTTTATCTGATTTTAAATTCATAAGGCCTATTTCATATCTGTGTATTCAGAAACAGTTTGGTGCAGAGAAGTACCTTGAGGTGTCTGAACCAAGCAGAGGTCTGGGCTTGGTAGCCCACACCTGTAATCCTAGCATTTTGGGAGGCCAAGGTGGGAGGATCGCTTGAGCCCAAGAGTTCAAGACCAGCTTGGGCAACATAGCAAGACCCCATCTCTACAAAAAATAAAAATTAGCTGGGCATGGTGGCTCATGGCTATAGTCCCAGCTAATCTGGAGGCTAAGGCAGGAGGATTGCTTGAGCCCAGGAGCTTGAGGCTGCAGTGAGCTGCGATGATGCCACTGCACTGCAGCCTGGGCAACAGAGCAAGACCCCTGTCTCGAAAAAAAAAAAACCATACAGAGGAGAATCCTCAAAGATCCTGGAACCTCACTTTGAACATCTGCTAAATAATTGTCAAACAGTGAATTTATAAAACAGCACATGATGGTAGCTGAGGATTGGAGTCAGGTGAAGAGGAGAGTACAATTTAGTTTCTACTTGGTGACTCCGAGAAGCCTAAAGAGTCCTTGTGGTTTTCTTCCCCGAGCTTGGCCTTCACCATCAGGCAGGATATGCAGGGACTCATTATGAAGTGAAACTCAAAACCATCTGATGCTGTTCACTCTGGTTTGAAATGAGGCTGTTCCAGGTTTACGTAGATTGCATTATTGGATAAAGTATTCTCAGGGACTAAGGGCTCTCTGCTCCTAACTTGTAAGCCAATGGGAGAGCTGCACATTCCTCAGCTATCAGCCCAGATTCCTACACAACTTCATTGGCCCTTCCACATTAAATTGTGGCTCTAATTTAATTATTTATTTGGCATTTAGTTGGAACAGAGATTTCCCTGTGACCAGCCTCAAAACTGAGAAACCTCTAGTGGAAAGAAGTACATATTTTACTTTCACCTCATTGAAAATGCCGAATAGAAGGAACCACTTGACTGGTTTATGGTCCCAGGCTCAATAGAAGAATTGGGGGATTAGACCCATTCTAGAAGGTGACCATAATAGATTATGAGCCCTAAGCAGGTCCTGACTTTAAGGCCCAATAATTTGTAGGTCGTACTTGCTGCTTAAGTATGGATGACTGTAAATTCTGCTTCCACCTAGTAGTAAAACTACACATTTTTAGTGCCAATGCAAAATCAGAGATGGAGTTTACAGTGCTCACTTGGGGCTTACCATGCACAGAATGCTGCTTAGACACTTCAAAAGGATGGGAAAGACAAGACGATGAGGATCTTTGTTCTTGGGGAACATATAATCTAACTGTACAGATTAAAACGTAAGTATTATTTTAAGGCAACTGCGAAATGTACTACAAATTATGAAATAATAAAGAGCTTGGATATATAAGATGCTTAAAATTTAGGGATGGCTGAAGGGCATCTGGGTGGTAGGTACAGATCAAAAAGAAAAGGTGATGGCTGAGGACTGAACCCTGGGACATTCCAACTGAGAAGTTGGGAAGGGAAGGAGGAGGAGTCAGTGAGAAAGGAAGGAAAACCAGGGAGTGTGGCGGCCTGAGAGCCAGGGAAAGAATGTCAAATGCTGGGAGAGAGAGCTGTTCATTGCATATGGAGAGAAAGAACTTGCTGGTGATTTTCGTAAAAGCAATGTCAGTGTAGAGGTAAGGGCGAACACCTGAGTGGCCCATAGAGGATGGGAGATTAGGAAGTAGGGGTAGCATACAGAGCTTGGATGACTGTAGAGGAATGGGATGATGGTCTGAGCAGGATGTGGGGGCAA